TCCTTTCAGTTGACAATTTATCTTCATTCTTATAATTAAAGAAGTGTAACTGAAAACTGCTATGATCCAGTGCAGTCAGAAGAGAGCCTGCCAGGGAGGGGTTTCATTCCAGACACTAAGGGACAGATTCTCATTCTATCTTTCTTTGTGATAAAGGAGTAGATGGAAACTACTTGCATATCTTCCAAGTTCAGAGCTGGTAACTTTTTCCATTCAGCCCAGTTTAGCACATATATTGTGTCTTATAATTCATTCAAAGCATCATTGTCCTTTACTGTTTGGAGTAGTTTAGATGGAGTCAGGGGAGTGTCCTTTCTTTTGGGGTCTTGTGCCTGCATCAGAAATCCTGACATAAGGACTGGCTGTGTTGGGGAATTGCTCTTTTTACCCACATATATAAACTAACATTATATATCAGTGGTTTTCTTTGTGTTGATGTTCATTGCTTTTTTTCAGCTGAAGGCTATTGACAGTAGTTTGCTAATGCTCTTCTGAAAGTGTGTATTCAGAAAAATGTCAATAACACAGAGATGGACATGACAGAACTCTTCCAAATGCAAAAATGAGGAAGGAGGGTCTGCAAAGACACATCTCCATTTTTAATTTCATCCTTAAAGTAAAATAGCTTTTAAAATATTAGATTATTAGGCTGGATTTTGTGTAATCTGTCCCATATTTGCTAGATGGCATTTACTTTTGTCTTGGTATTGTTTGGAATATGTATTCTTAATGCAACGTTTATTCCGTCTCTTTTGGGCCAATTGATATTGGAATGATAGTACTAGCAATAAGGAGAAATTTTTCAAGCAAAGTGCTTGCCTACTGTCTTGGAGCAAGATTGTAATATTGTAAAATTCAAGCATTTTTGTAGCAAGGAACGTAAAAATTCTGTATGCTTTACCATCATAGAAGAAAATGTGTTGGGAGGGGTTTTTTCAGGTGAAATAGGTATTTATAGAACAGATGATCTTAACAGAAAATAAACCAACTAGTGTTACAGATAGTACTTGTTCTGAATTCTGGGTTTTCTGTTTTGACTACTAGTAAAGAAAAGGATTTTTTCTTGACCACATGCTCTTTTTAAATAAAATCAGTTCTGAAATAATTTGTCATGCACAGAGCACTGTTATGCTGTAAGAGTCATCTGAGTTACTAGGTCACAGCAGCAGTGCAATATTGAGGATTTTCGATACTTTAGCTGTGACAGCAAACACAGAGAGCACTGGAGCCTGATGATGTGACGGGTCATGTGATGGCAGAGAACGCCTCGTCTTGAGGCAGGAAGATTTGCGTGACCTCTCTAGTAAAAATGCCCCCTTCAGTATGCAGAACCCAGAGAACTCTGTGGACAGCACTAACACCAAGAGACACAATTTGTAGTACTTGGTCCACAGGAAGAATAAGATGTTGTAGCAGTCTCTAGCCAGTCACATGTGGTGGTCCAGAGCTGCCCAGGAGAGTGAAATACTCCACTCTTGTCTGTTCCTGAGACTTGGTTGCCATGGTCACAGCTTTAGAGAGATGAAGACTTTCTTTTCCTGTATTTTGTATGTATAGTAGGGGGTCATAGCAGTGGTGTTGCTGCTGTATAGACACCCCTATCTCTTCCTGTTCATCCATTGTTATTTTATGCTCTTCAATCGAAATCCTTTAGGCTTATTTGTATTTAAATACTTAAGGTTTGAGAGTGAATTTTATTTCTGCACTCTTTCCTGTACTCTCATCCACAAGCTTTGTCTTTTCTTACTCTTTATTTTCCTTTAAGCATATTCCTAAAAAATGACAGTTTCTGGACAATAAGCACCCCGCCCCAGTATTATTTTGCCTTTTTGCTGCGGTCAGAAAGTCTTTGTCATATATACAGGTTTCTAAATCCTTTCCCCTCATCCTCTCTGTTTGTTCTCAGGTGTATTCAGGCATCACAGAATATAGGTCTTTTTCTTCATTTTGTCTCTGCCAACTATTTGCTCTGTAAATTAGTATTTTGGGCTATTCAGAAGAGTAAAGTTAAGCATATAATATAAATAACACTTTCATGATCACATTTTCCTATGCACTTTGTGCCATTTTGTTGCAGCTCCAGCTGTACACACAAACCTGTACATACAGATGTTAATAACTGTTGGTGTGTGCCAACAAATAACAGTGAACAGGATTGGGTAGTATATGCAAGAAAGGATGGGGTTTTTTTAAGAAACTAGACATCTTCTGGAAGGTGCTACTTAAACAGAATTTGAGATAGCTGTTATGAGAGATATATAAATAATTTAAAGAAGTAACAGAAGTTTTTCAAATTGATTTTGGGGTGTCATAATGTTCTGTTAATAAGAAAAACAAGCTCGTTGTCCAGGGCATTTGCTATTCAATGCTCCTCTCTATAAATGGGCATTAAGAATGAAAATTAAAAACCAAACCAATTGTAAGTTCTCTATGTAAGAAGACAAGCCCTGTTTCTTGATTATTGTAAACCCAAAAGGACGTTTTTTAGTTGGTAATATGTTCATTTTCTCTTCTCCTAACTACTCAAAAACGGTATGCTTGCAATGGCATTGTTCTGATGCACTTAGAGAAGTTTGTTAGCAGCAGAAATGTTCAGTAACCCAACAACCTGTTGGTGGCTTCTCACTTTGCGTCTGGTAAGTCCATAATATATAGAAGTATATCTGTCATATGCATATCTGTTTAAAATAAAATATGTGTTAAATACATAAAACATGACTTTGCTTTAATGCACATCGAGAATACCTGTATATTCTATTCAGGCCATTGCCTCCCAAGGTTAAATTCTGCTGTCAGATTTTTCTGTACCTTTTACTACTTCTGGTATATTTCTTTTTCTGTCAACTGAAATTTTTTTCTTCAACCAGAAGTTGAAAAATTTGCTCTGAAGCTGTTGCCAGAAAAAAAGCTCTGATATATGGAAAATAACCCAAGTCTGTCTGTAGTATGATAGCCTTCACTAAATTATATGCTATTTTATATCCACTAGATTATCCCACAGAATGGTCTGACTCTAGGGGATGACTGCTGCTGAAGCACTCTTTTGCATCTGGTGCTACCGAGACATGTTTGGAAGTTCTGTGTAATAACATGGTCAGGTTGTTGAAATTTCATGCCATGTCCCCAGTCTTGGATTTATTAAAAACTTATTATAATTTCTCTTAAAAGGAACATGATACCTGGTAATTTCACAGAGATATTATAATAGTATTGAGGACTATTCCAGCAGTGAATTGCACTGAAAAAAGTATTAGAGAAAACAAGGTTTGATATATGTGTGTGTATTCACTGTGTAGTGGACTTGCCACAGAAAGGGGTAGAGAAAGCTTCAGCCCCTTCACTCTAAAAGTAGGAAGAACAATTATTTATTTGAATTTTGCTCATGTTGTGCTCTGAATAATTTACATAATTTCATGGCATGTTTGTAGTTTGAAAGGCTACTTTACATATATTAAGAAGCCAAAATAATATTAGCTGAGTGACTGTATTATTTCCAAACTTCACTTTGCCAGTGCTGTAGTACTTTTAAGAATGTTTGCTCGTGTCCAGCATGAGCTGTACAATCATCCCTTGTAGGCATCTGTAAACATGGTTTTTTGTTCCTGAAATGTGTCAGTGCTGGGAGCTCTGTAGACAGTCTAACTAGGCAGACCTTTTGGGCAACTTATTTTCTTTCAGTAACCATCCTGCTCTGTTGTGGTCCCTGGCACTGGTTGCAAATCCTGGGGAAGAATTAAGAAAATGGCACGTTAAAAACAATTGGGGCTTATTTCTTTCAGTGTAGTATTACAGTCATCTGTGATGATCAACTGATTTTTATAGGGGACAAAGAATCAGGTGCCCTATTTTCTTCTGCTCTGAATTCAAAGACTTTGTTGTATGAGTAGTAGAGGTGATACTGCAGTGAAAAGAAATGGATGAGTTTCAGAGAAATAATTTCAGATAAAGAGATTTTATACACACATATACACACAAACACTTATTGTATGAGATCCCTCAATCCCAGTCCAATATTTTTAGCAGGTGTTACTGATAGAACTTCAATGTTACACATTTTTTTCTTGTAGCAGTGAAAGGGAAAATTCATGTTGTATTACTTGAGGGTAGAAAGAATTCAAACTTAAGGGAAAAACATTTCATTTTATAGCTGATATTTAATACTTCAAAAATCCTTCAGATGTGTTTTACCTCTGATATTTATAGGAAACATGCTATTTCAGCGATTTCTTTTAATTCCTATAGGAAATGTGTAGTATATAATAGTAGCTCATTTCAAGTACATTTAAGCTCAGTTTTGATATTTTTAATGTTACTTATAATTGAAATAGTATTACTAAAATTACTAGATAAGATTTTTACTAAATATAACTGGCTGTAACATCTAGAGGATTTAGATTTCAGAGAGTCACACGAGTGATTAAATAGTCTCTGAAACATCACATTCATATCCCTGATGACTAAGCTACATGTATATTTATGCATAAGCCTTCTTTACATCTAACAATTTTTAGGAATGGAATGAAAAAAAAATTGAGCTATCTCTTGCTATTTGTAATCCAGAACACTAGAGGACAGCACTAAAATATTACATAAATATGTTGTTGTTTACACTGTTAATGATATAGATGCTCTGGGAGGGGTTTGTGAGGAGAAAACAAATTTCTGTTTTGAACAGTTAAGGCAGGTGATATTTTTAGGAATATCTTTGGCTCCCTTTGAAAACCACATGTCACTCCAAACATATAAAATATCTGGAGCTGCTTGTGGTCTGATACAAAGTTATTTGCTACAGTGAATTCTTTAGAAATTAAGCTTTATTTTTTATAGTAATAGTGTATAATACATTTTTAGTTTTAAAAAGAGGAGCCATTTGCTTCATCTGTAAATATTTTGTGATTTTTTTTTTTTTTTGCTCACATGTCATGTACTGTATTACTACTATGATAGAGATGTGATAGTACAGCTCATTGAAAAAGTTACAACTTCTGTTGTTTCTCTAGGCACACTGGAACGACATGAAACTGGTGACACAGCAAGAGCAATTCTTACTGCTATTGAAGATTCAGAATACATAGTGGCAGGTGCTCTACTTCCTGTGTCTCAGGAGTCAAAACAAAACAAGAATTCTGGATACAAACACTCCAGCTCATACAAGCATGGCATGGGCCCTTATCCTGCTCATGCAGAGAAATCTTCAGATAAGGTAAGAGTGAAGAGTAGAGCGTTTTTCCAGAGCAATTAGTGGTGATTCTGATTCTTTACTCTGTCACCCACTGATGAGTAAATGGGATAGTGGCTTGGTTTTAAGTTTATAAAGGCTTCTTCTGGCTGGCCCAGTTTTTATGCCTTCAACCCCATTTCATAGATAAATGAGGAAAATTGGCAGAGTGCCTTATGCAAGGTCATTAGTGGCTAATCTCAAAAGGATTTTCTCAGTGCTTATTACCTGTAGTTAGATCCTATTTCCTCATGCCTCTAGCTTGTGACTGCACCTGTCAGTAGTACCCTGAGAACAGCTGAATACACCTTACACCCATTCAAATGTGTGTGTCTTGAGAACAAGCACATAGAGATCCCATGCTGTTGGTCTTTCTCTTATTGCTCTTCTAATGAGACCAAAGATCCCTCTTGTCATTCAGAGACAGTTTTTATTGGGTGTGTGTTTTCTCTTGGCATCATCATGGAATACACTGCAAGTGCCCTATGTTTTTATTGGTGTGATTAAATTAGTACTCATGTGAAGTACTGCACTGCAAGAAGGTATGATTATCTTCAGGAAAGATTTGGCCAGGGAGAGATTCTTTATCTAGAAATACTTTCCTATCAAAATCATTAAACCAACTAATTGAGACTGATGGAGAAGCTGTGCTCCATCTTTTTGTTTTGAATAAGGAATAGAAGGAAATAATATGCTTAAAGTAGCGTTAGTGTTATGTTAAAACTGAGAAAATGAGTACTGAGATATCAAATCATGAGGAGACTAAAAATGTAATAGTCATTCTATTTTCTTGTGGTCTAGATAAATCTATACTTTTATCAGTTATTTGTGGATATTTAAAATTAATATAGTATTTGCTAATTTTAAAACTGATTGCTATAACTCTCTAATTTAATACAATCTCAGATTCAATGAGATGGATATTGCCTTTTTCATGTAGGGAAAAAATGGTACAAACCTATTTTCTTAAACCCTATTTATGCAGCAGGAGGTAATATATTCACTGAACTGTTGATTAGGGTGTATCTTAAGGGCTTTTATGTAGTTTGTTCTTGCTTACCACTTTTTAATTAATAGGTTTTGGGAATCCTTTTCTCTGCAATAAACAGAAGTCATGTCTGCTATTCCTCAACCCTCAATGTACATGGAAGGTATTTTACCACAAGTATTGAGAGTAAAAAATGCTTTCCCTCAATCACACATAGAAGCAACCTTCAGAATGGTCTCTGGCCTTTTTTGTGGCTTTATTAATTATAGCAGATGAAGTAGCAGGTATTACAAAACTGACAAAGTACAGCTTGATCGAAGTCCTCACTCGGAATTTTATATTCTTTTCTTCATTGTATCTTCAAATTTACATATAACATTGAGTTTCTAATGACTGTAGTTTAACTCTTAATATTTTTCTTTGACCTTTTACTAACCTTAGTCTGATTTCTAAAGTTCTTTTTGATCCCATTTTCTGAAAAGTCTTATTAGCGCGTAATCCTGCTGAGCATGTTGTGGGGCAGATGGTGCACTAGTTGGCCATTGACACAGAATCTGATCTCCCTGTTAGTTTGTTAAAAGGAATAGATAGTTTCTTCTTGCCTTCTTAAATAGGAACAAAAGAAAAAAGTTTTGGTAGTTCTTTGGTAAGTAGTTTTAGGTATGTCTATTAAATTGAAAATTGCATGGATTTAACAAGGTGGGAGGAAAGAAAATGTGCTGATTATGGAATATGAGGAAGAGTTTTTTGTAAACTTTAAAATGTGGAGTTGAACATGCTTTGGGAATTATGATCTTAAATTGGGAGAAATATCACAACAAGAAACCATGGAAATGTAGCATGAGATTTGTAGTGCTCTCTTTGATTTGATATGCATCTTGTCTACTCTGATTTATCAAAATAATATTATATTGTTGTGTTTAAATATTTCTCATTAATATTCTTGTCCAAATGTAAACTTAAGAATACTATGGATGTCTCTTAGACTTTTATGTCACAATCTTTTTTTCGTTTCATGTTCTTTTTTGTCACTACAGACCTGTTAGGTTTGTCTAGATTCATAATAAATTAAGTTCTGTATTTGGGAAAGCACTTTTCATTCATCAAACATGTGTCATCCAGTACATTTAGAGCTTCTTCCCACTTGCATCTGCATTGGAGAGGGTTCTGTAGATTGGTGTGGGAGAAGTTGGAGCCTAAATGTATTTAGTGTAGCTGAACCTGGGAAAAACATAACAATGGAAGTCCCCTTAATGCTATTGCAGAAGCCCAGTGCTGGCTACACAAAAGGAGTGTGGAACTCTGCAGCTTTTTTAACACTGTTCTGTTATTGCTAAATTGATGGCTTCTTATGAAGTCTGCTGTTTTTCTTAAGTTTTGTACAGAAAATTTTTTGTTAGGTTTTTCAAAAAGTGCTCTATTGACTCTTTTGTATCATTGTATTTTAGCATCTTGAAATATTCTAGAAATTCAGATCCCATTTAATTAGTGAGAGGATTGTGGTTATCAGACTTCAACATTCCATCCCCTATTAATTAAAGCATATAATTATTACACATATAAAAATATCACAAAACTTTCAGATTATTAGAGGGTTTTAATATAGAATGAGTGTTTCATTATCAATTTCTTTCTTTGGCAAATTGTGTATTAGAAATTTAACAACATACTAAATTGTTAATAACTTTTCTATCAAAAAACCCCATCATCAATTTTAGCATATATTAAGGAACTCAATTTCGGAAGATTTGTGTGACAGGAAAAATGAGTGGGTAGCTATTCTGTCCTGTTGGTATTGTAATTGAGAGTGATCCTTTTGTACAAGGAGTGATCCACATGAAGATTGGAAGTAAAATTCAGCATTTGTTCTTGCCATTATTAAGTTGTTTTACCCTTCATATTATATTTAAGATGAAACAATGTTTTCAAAATAATGGTCTCTCTTTCCTCCATCCTAAAAAAGATAAATATCCTCATATAGTAGTCCAGCTCCAAAGGCTTTCTTTCAAAACTTTTGCTGTCATGTAAATCACGGATACAAAAGCAGAATGTTTTGATTTCATGGTGTTTTGACCATTTTAATTCTTTTATTGTGCTGCACGTGCCAGTGGGAGTACCAATAACAGATGACTGTGACAAATGCAGTTAACACAAGATCCATATTAATGTTGTCAAATCCCCTTGATATATTTAAACAGATTTTAATTATTTTTAATGCCAAAAGACCCAAAATATATAGCTTAATAGTTCTTCAAGAAAGCTTGACTTAATATGTGAATGTAAAACCTCTCATAAAAATGAAACTTTTATATTGGCCTTAGTCATTGACATAGGGTATTCATCAAGTCAGCAATTTGTGTGGCAAAGTGCCATTTGAATAGTGTATTGTTAGAATACTTATGGTCCACTTGACAAGGGCTCTTGCTGTAAATAGTGCAATTTGACTCCAGCTGTTAAAGAGTGGCTTTGACAGCAGCCAAATAGAATGGAGATGCTTTACTGCACCACAGAAAAATCAATATTGGGTTCTTGTTCATAGTAACCTGTTTTCTCTTTTTTTTTTTTTTTTTTTTCAGATTTATACAAGACTATCTAGAGTTCATTTGTGAAAGTTTAAATATTATTTTGAAAGTGAGGCTGTTTTCTTTCCAGACTATTGTTGGTGGTGAATGTTGCTTGTGTTTAGTTAAAAAGTAAAAGGCAGTGCTTTGTGGATATACATAAACAATGTGATGAGGCAGCATTATTGAAACTCTATTTACAGGGGTAGATGTTAGGATGTGGGTGCATAAGTTGTGTAACTAACGACAAAAGAAATGTTCTTTCCTTCCTCTCTGTTTTTTTTCTTTTTGTACTGTTACTGTAGAATCCCTGTCAATTTTCTAAGTATAGGGTTTTTTAAAGCAGGTTTCTTTGTTGCTCTCCCTGTAACAACCCCCACAGATGTTGACAATCTGTAGTGCCATTGTAGATTTTCCTGAAGCATGGTCTTGCTAGTGCTGAACAGTTTTCTAGCAGTATTCAGTGACACAAGGTTGCTATGATACCCGGCCAGTAGCAATAGGTATTGAATCACTGCTCTTAATTACAATAGAATACACACTAGACTGTGCTCATGGTGTTCATATGGAACTAGCTCTCATTATTGCTTTAAGTCTTAGTTCTGCTTGAAAATTGGAGCTCTGTGAAAAACTGATTAAAAAAAAAATTGAAATGCTCCAGTGCATCATATGAAGATTTCATTGATGCACATAAAAAGGTGGATGTGTCTGGGAATTGTTTTCCTGATGTTCCAGAAACCCTTCATGTTGGAAAGTTTCCTACCTTTTCAGCTTCAATATTTTGGACATAAGCCTGTGTTAATCATGCACTAATGTTTCTAGTGGTTTCAGTAATCAGAATGGTCTGGGTAAAAACAGTGGAGGGAAAAGAAGATTATAGAATCTGTGCAATGGTTGCTGAAGCTTGAACTCTTAAAATTATACTACTGAAAATCTAGATTAGAAAAGAATTTTTTTTACTGTGCATATAAGATAAGGCAAAGGTGGGGGAGAGAAACATTCATTTATATGTGGACTTGTATATGTATTTTTTGGTATATTAACTCAGCAATTTCTTAAAATATGTTGTAATAGGTCCTTTGGAACTTGATATTCACTTACATAGTAGTATACATATTCTGCTCTGAACAAAAATATGTAAAGGCAAGAATGTCCAGAAGTTACAAATAATAAAAGAAATATCTACTTTGCTGCTGCACATAATAAGTAAGAGGCAAATGAAGACTGTAGGATAATAGCAGCTATTTGTTTTAGTATAGCAAGGGAAGCAATTTGAAAATAAAATTGTTATTGAAAGTCTGGAAAATCACTGCCAGTTAAATCTTACTGATGGAAAAATTGATAGAAAAATGGAAATAAGATACAAGCACAAATATAAAATAATACTTAGCAAATAGGAAATCAGGGGTGGTATCATAAACAATGGTGTCACAGAC